AGGGACAGTAACTGCGGGTGTGTATGTAAGCGTGTAAAACCTGACAGTAAGATTAACAGTATTTTGTCTCTATCTACCATTGTAGAAATTCTCATGTAAACAATAACGTGGCGCACAGCGTGACGTGAAAAAAGGCACATACCTTTGACATTGCGCGATGAACTTTGTATTCCTCGTCCACACGTAAACGCAAAAAAGGAGTTTTAAAGAATATCAGTTTTCGGTGATTTGAAGCGCCGTTTACGTGTGGACGAAAGGCCCAAACGCATAGAAACAGCTGCGTTTTCAAAAATACCCGTGTAGGTGTGGACATAGCGTAAAAGAGTTAGTAGTGTATTTTATTACTACATGTAATTTATTGCAGTTTACTTTTATGTGTTTAATTGTTTAATAAATGTTTGAGGTGTGAATTAAACTGTGATGGAGTTCTGCACTTCTGCATAGGTTTTTTTTTTTTAAATTTGCAGTTTATGTTTGCATTTCAAGTTATGAAATATGATTCGTTAAACATGTTTGTAGTTGTTACAGTAAAAAATATAATTGTTTTCTACAACATTTCTACAGACGTGAGGTTGTGCTGAAAAGAATGATATGAGCTCCTCTGGACCCGAGGGTTAAGCATTTTTTTCAAAGTAATGCAATAGTTACTTTTCCTAGTAATTAGTTACTTATATAATATTGTAACTCAGTTGCTATCTCAGTTACTTTTTTGAAGAAGTAACTATAACTAATTACTTTTTCAAAGTAACTTGCCCAACACTGCTTGTGAGTTGATGCTCAAGTACAGTGTTCTCTTATAGGAAAAGCTAGCGAAACAGGCACTGCAGCAGAAGCAACAGTGTTTTTCACTCTCTTTTTTTCACTTTGTTTACTGAAAGTGCTTTCTCTGTTACTAAACAAACAGACTGACTTGATAGCTGTTGACTTTGTTGTCCTTAATGTCTCTCTTGTCTGTGTCTTTCCTCTAGTTTGGCCGGACAGAAGTGATCGATAACACACTGAACCCTGACTTTGTTAGGAAGTTTGTCCTTGATTTCTTCTTTGAGGAAAAGCAGAACCTTCGCTTTGATGTGTAAGTAGAAATGTCTCTGTCTTTTCCTTCTACAATGCCACTGTCTGTTTTCCTTTGTTATCACAGGGACTGAATCAACCCTACTATTAGTTTGGCCTTCTGACTCATACCCACTAGATTTAGAAGCTCGCAGTCATTTAATGACTCATCAAATTGTTAAGCGGCAGTGATTTGGCAGGGTAAAAAGTTTTACATGCCTTTGGGTGACAGCCTTCTTCACACTTTTGACAATTATTATTAAAAGTTTTATTATCACTGTCTGAGTATTAACAAACAGTTAATAAAATAAATAAATAAATAAATAAATACATACATACATACATATAATTGCATGGTTTACCTATACATATAGTGGATAATTATGTCCCTGATGTGTGATGTCTATGTTTACCATCTCAATTTATTATAACAGGCAGTTTTGCTATTGTATTTTGCGATTTGGGTTCATTTTAGAAATCACTTTTATAGTGACAAATACAAAAATGAAAATATTCAAAGATTTTGTAGCGGTGTACAGCTGCTACAAATGTTGTTTTTACATTTACATGCTGTTCTGGGTGAAATCGGATCTCTATCTGCTGTATCAGGTGCATTTTGGATCTATCACTGTGGGTCAAATAGAGAATGGTGATTTATGGAATTGTTAAACTGTGAATCTGTATATGACATGCCTGCATGCATTTCTTCCACTGAGGCAGGGTATAGGGTACTCTCAATACTGTCACAACAACTGTCTGTGTTCCCCTCACTTTTGCCGAGGTTCTCTTGGGGGAATCCTAAACAGTATAATAGTAACATAGCTGGTACTATTCCCAAAGTCAAGAAGAGAAGAGCTGCAGCCCAAGTTGATGATCTCAACCTTACATAGCTATGAGATGTAAACATTGTTCAGTGTAAACATTGGATACTATTACATAATATCCTGTTTTTCTCAAGTATAATTAAGTCATGAAAGTCAAGTCATAATGTTTAAAAAGGACAACCAGTCTCTCGGGGCATCGAGCTTAGGTCCTCCGATCTCCATGTCAAAATAACCTTGGGCAAGATACTGACTGTTCCCAGTGCATCCACTGGAGTGCGAATGTGTGCATAATAATTAGAAAGTGCTTAAGGACACAGAATAAATTCTGTATGATTGCAAATAAAACTAAGATTAAGATGAATTTCATTTCATTTACTCAACTTGGACCTGCTACTCTTCTTTCTCTCTCTCTGCTTGTGACTAGTCGAATAGCTGACTAATTATCACTGTTATCAATAGTCTGTACCAGCCTTACTAGTCGTTTAGTCTAGTAAAATTTTAATTGATGCGTAATACTGGTAACTTGAGTTCAAAATGCCTCAATGCCACCAGATGGTGCATCGTTGTTAAGAAATGCCATAAATGCATTAATCAAGGTTTCATCTGTTTGCTAAAATTGGACTGAGGTCACGGATACAAATGGCGGAAATTAGTTTTCTCTGAAAGGTGGAAGGATTATCCCTTAGGGATACAGTTCAGTCATTATCGACAGGCACAGAGTACAGGCATTTCAAGATCCATGTGTGCCTCACATGGATCCTCACTGGTGCATCAAACTCTTCATGCTTGAAACTTTCTTGGATGTCTGCTACTGTAATGGTTACCAGAGCTTGTTCAGGAAGGTTGCTGTGGTCTGCTCTTGGATCCACTAGCCACTGAGCATTGTTGTTATGGGCTGCATCCTTCTCCCATATGCTCTTTCGATATTGCTCTGTCCCCAGCCTTGGTGGGGCTCTTGTCGTTTTGTTCCCCTGTCACTGAGTGTACACCTATCTGTCTGGTATACCTTTTCAGGTGGCTAGCTAAGGCTGTGAGTCTTTGCTTGGCAGTTTTTTGAAGACCTCGGGTATGGCAGCTTGCTGTACCTCTTAGGGATCCCTGTTTTCATCACACCTTTCTGCAGCTACGATAGTTGGCTACCTTTCCTTCCCGTTGCCTTAATCTTGGCCTCTAGCCTCTTTCTCCATTTTCTCCATCATGGCGGGTACTGCTCTTTGTGGCTGAAGTATCAATTTTTTTTCCATGTGGGCACATTCACGCTTTGGATATTCATTGGAACAAGTCCAGAAGTGTTTGGATAATGGCCTCTGGTTGTGGCTGTTGTGAATCCTTGGTCTCTGGACAACACATTTATCCAGCTTCTATCCACTCCACTGCCCAGTGCTATACTCCTTACAGTTCATGCTGTAAATCACCCTTTAGGCTGAACAGCAACAGAACATGAGGCCCTTCCATGTTCCACCCCACTGTTTTGTAACTACTAGACTGATTCAGTCCCCTTGTCTGCAAAGCTGCAACTGAGAGAGGTTTGCCTCCATGTTCCATTATTGTGAGTTTTGCTGAGTATGTTGCGACACATTTTGTCACCAGGGCAGAACGATAATACAGCAGCGTATCCATCTGCTGGTTCTGATTAATTTTCTGTTTCAAGGAGGCTGTCACCTTCTGTTTGACTGCATTCTGTCTTCAATGGAAGCTTTTGTGAAGATGCTGAGTAGAGGCCACCTTTCACACTATACCTCATGGTTTCACCTGGCATTTTTCTTTGATTTACTCTGATAAGAGGCATACTCTTCTGTAACTGACTAGCTGCTCTCCTGGTGCTGCCACTCCTGACATGCTGTCTACACTCAAAACACTCCTACAGAGTCTTCCTTCTTCATTTAGCAAGATTATAATAGGTATATGTGTAATTTGTGCAGTTTTTGATACTGTTGACCATAATATTATATTACAGAGATTAGAGCATACTGTAGGTATTAAAGTTTGAATCATTTCTATCTAACACACTATAATTTGTTCATGTAAATGGGGGAGTCTTCTTCACACACAGAGGTGAATTACGGAGTTCCACAAGGCTCTATGCTAGGACCAATTATGTTCACATTATGCATCCTTTCCCTAGGCTAGAGGTCAGCAACCCATGGCTCACGAGCCACAGAGTAGGGTTAACCATGCCTATTAGTACATATACTATATATATTGATTTGTCATCTCCCAATTACACCTGCCACCTGCCCATCTCTCTCCCTTGGCAGGAGGAGCTTCAACAACTTTTGATGTTAAAGGTTGACAATCCCTGCCTGAAGGAGTACCATTAGAAGGAATATCATATATTTTCACGGCTTTGCAGATGATACCCAGTTTTTTATATACATAAAGCCAAATAACACAACACAAACCAATTAGTTAAACAGCAGTAATGTCTCAAATGTTTCAAAGAGATAAAGTCTAGTTGGTCAGGATCGTCTAATTTTCTGCTTCTAAATTCAGATAAGCTGAGGTTAGCATCTAATTACAACAAATTTCTAAAGATCTTGTGTCTAACCAGATGCTTACGTTGGATTGCATTTTCTTGACCTCCAGTAACAATATAAGTCACTTTTGACCATTTTGAAAATGTCCTTGAATGCAAATATTAAACAAATAGGTAGGATTGCTTTCCTTCATTGGCACAGCATCTCTAAAATTAGAACCATCCTGTCTCAGGGTGATACTGAAAAATAAGTTCATGTATTTATTCCTTCTAGGCTGAGCTACAATAATTCATTATTATCAGGATGTCCTAAAAAAAATCCCTGAAAAGCCGTGAGTTGATCCAAAATGCTGCAGCGAGAGTCATGACAGACACATGGCCTAGACCAGGGGTCAACAACCTTTAACACCCATAGAGCCATTTGGACCTAGTTTCCATGGAAAAGAAAACACTGGGAGCCGCAAATACTTTTTGGCATCTAAAATGAAGATAACACTGCTTTGTATAAACAGCTAAATTGTGTTGCTTATGAAATCTATGAAGTGCTACAGAGAAAATTAAATTTTATTTATATAATGAACACATTTTGAACTCTTAAAAACCATAACAAAAAGGAGATACACCCAGTTGAAGATCGCTTTTAAATGACGCTGAAGCTGAACTTAAATTATTCTTATAGCAAACAAAAACTGTAGTGACCGTCAAGCTTATATCACCTTTGGAATTTCGCATCCTGTAGCGGAGCCTTGACCTGAATTTTAAAAATATTTGGAAAAAAGTACTATGCTGCTAAAGAAAAAAAGGAAAAATAAATATCTGCAAAATATCTGAAATATTTATTTTACGTGGTTAATGTGTGTGGCGGGGCGTGGTCTGCCGCTGTAGGGGAGGCGGACGCACCTGAGCGGCATCTGCAATCACGCCTCGCCGCCTTAAAGTCTGTGCTCTCTCTGCTGTTGTGTTGGTGTGTGTTGGGCTGTGAGCTGAAAAGCTACACCCGGCTGTGTGGACCATGTGTGAAAAGTGGTCAATAAAGAGATGCTGAAAAGCATGTTCACGGAAACATTGTCGGGTCTGCCGTGGTATGTTTACAATGGGACTTCTGCCCCTGAACCTGCAAATCGAGGCTGCACGGAGTCACTTTCATCTTTACGCAGGACTGTAAGCTGTCATCTGTGAGGCGTGAGCGGTGTTTGTTTTTACCATAGTTCATGGTGGAGAACAGCTGCTCACATACGTATGTGGATCCGAAGATCCATACTTGGTCTGCTTGGGGTTGAAAGTCTCCATAAATGCAGGGCATTTCAGCGGGTATGGTTTATGCGAGTGTGACGCTTATTTTCAGCAATGAAAAATAATAACATATAATTTTATTTTTAGATTTCAATATCACAATAATCTTCCAATTTAGAACCACAATTTAAAAATACGAACACAAATAAAATACACTTAAGTTAAATACTTATAATTGTTTTTCCAAACCACGCGGAGCCGCAGTATAAGGACTAAAGAGCCGCATGCACCCCTGGCCTAGACAGAGAGAGCATATTTCCAACTTCACGCCCCATCTTTTCTTAAAGACCTAATACTGATCACCTGAATAGGGCACTTTATTCTCAATAATGAGGGGCAGAGCCTTCAGCTTCCAGTTCCCTCTCCTGTGAAAACAGCTCCTAATTTGGATTCGGGAGTCATACACTATCTCTACTTTTAAGATTAGGT